ATAGCGACTATAGGGGATAATAGGGTTTTAGGGTTTAGGGTTTAGGGTTTGGGGATAATAGGGATTATATTAGGGTCCTCTTACATTCCTATTACACCACTATTACAAGGTGGGGGGTCCTCCTAACCTATACGCCAAAGGTCCGTCATTTCGAGGAATCCTATTTGTTGCTTCAAACAAAACTATACATGCGTAGAACCCACACATTGCACAAAACAAAAACACTGTGAGCATCTACAATCCCAACTTATAAAACCCGAATCCTTAACATGACCGCCCCAGAATCCATCATGAACTTGCCAGGATCTTGGAACGGATCCGCATCAGTTTCAAGAGAAGGGACCATCCTAGGCTGGCTCTACTTTGAGGTTCGCTAGATTATATGAGCTTGGGTACTGCCCCCACCGAGTAGCAGTCTATATTAGGGGTCCTATTAACGGCTATGTATAACCATATTATACTTATTATCCAACTGTTACTGAGGGGGGCAGTACCGAAATATGAGCTATAGTCTAAACTCCTAATATCCCCCTTAATATCCCCTAGTATAGGGTTTAGGGCTTAGGGTCTAAACTCCTCCCCTTAGTAAGCCCTGTAATAAACCCCCCTTTAAGGAGTTTCGACTCTAGCTCACATAAGCATGGCAATGGAGTTACAAGCGGCTCACATTAGGAAAAGTGATCACGAACTCAATAGAAAATCCTGCCTTAGACCCTGAACCTTAAACCCTGAACCCTGAACCGTGAACCCTAAACCCAGAACCCTGCACCACCAGATTTCGAGCCTAGGTTTTCGGGTTCCCCCAGTGGTAAAACCATCCGTTGCTTGGGAACCCTAGGCTTGGTGGCTGTAAGTGGAGAATGAAGGTAGGGTTTAGGGTGTAGGGTCTAGGGTTTAGGGTTTAAGGTATAGGAAAAGAAAATGGAAACGACATGTTGTGGGGAATACTATTGGGGCTATTGTAGGGATCCATTCCTCCGTTCCCCCAACATAAAGACCTAAACTTAGGATTTAGGGTTTAGGGTTGCGTGGCTCAGGGTTCTAGACCCTGCTTGAAGACTCAGCGTGCTGGTGCTCCAGCCGGAGGAGGGGATATTTTTTGTTGGCGTTCCAAAGGTTTAGGGCTTCAGGGTTCAGACGATACAGAAAGTAAAAGCAAGGGTTTGAGTTTAGAGGGCTTTGGGGCCCCAAATGCTAGACCCATCTACTGCAGAACCGCTCCAAGCCTAACCCAGAATCCCAAAACCCTATCCCCTGCACGCTGAACCCTAAAACCTATACCCTAAACCCTAGACCCTGAAAGCCAATCCCCTGGACCCTTGACCCTAAAGCCTAAACCCTCGAACCCTGTCCCAGAATCCCTGCAACGGGCGCCACATCCAGTCCACGAAAGAATCGCGATCCCTGGGAGTTCAGTAAAAAGCCTCGGCAGCATTTGAGCAGTAATCTAAACTCCCAGTATGCCCCTTAATAACCCTAGAATACTATAGGGATTGAGAAAATGGAAACTACTATGTGAGCTAAAGTCTAAACTCCCGGTATCCCATTAATAACTGTATAATACTCCCATATATAACACTCTTTAAGGAGTTAAGTCTATAGTTCATTTGGGTTGAAGCTTTCGAGGTTTTGGTTTCAAGGCTAGAATTGGATTGAACACTTCAGTAGCCACCTCGCCCCACTAACACCCCCCTAAACCCCTGAAGATAATAGAAATAATAGTGGTAGTAATAATAGAAATAATAATGGTAGTAATAATAGAAATAATAATGGTAAAATAACAATAAGATTAGTAAAAATAGTAATAATAATTGTAATAACAGGAATCACGCAAGGTTTTTGTTGGGGTGCATGTTGACTTTAATGTTTGGAGTGCCGCGGGCTGCGTGACATGGGGGGAGATGATTTTTGGGGCTCCTAAACCCTAAACCCTTGAGGTTCCAGCCCTAAGCCCATGCCCCATAGAGAACCCTCGAAACACTGCAAACACAAAACCTGGGAAGCCCTAAGCTCGAAACACCCTAAAATTTCGAAGAACGTCTGAATGCTTACGGATCGTTAGTAGGCAATGGAGGAATGGATGAATGGATGCCTATAGCAGTTCTTATGTACTTCTCTACTGTAGTCTTTGCTATATCTTTTCCATTCCTATATTGCCTGCGAACAACCAGCAAGAATGAGGCCCCCCAGGTGCGATAGTTGTGCAGTTCGCCACGCTTGAGATAGTAGAGCAACTTGCCCCAAACCTCAAGCAGCTCTAGGGTTTGAAGCTGCAGGGTTTTAGGTTTGTAGGGGCTTTAGATTGGCACCCAAGAAAAGAAGTTTGCAAGTGACGTTGTTGTAGTGATAGCACGAATCGATGAGATTACCCAAGCGAGAGACCTATACCCTGAAGCCTAAGCCCTCCGCTATGAACCCTAAGCCCCAAACCCTCAGCCCCGAATCCTAAGCCCTAACCCCTTAATCAAAAACCCTAAACCCTTACAGCCAAACATTGACTCGGAGAGGCCATCCGAATCATCATGCGGCCAATTTTATGCCGGTCCGACTGGAGGCTAAAGTCCCCTGATCCTGGTCAGGGCTTGTGGGGTTCAGAGGTTTAGGGTTTAGGTCATGCAGGGGTTATAAACAGTCGGGATTTGTGGGGATGTAATCGGTTTAGGGGTTTAGGACGTTCAGTGTTTAGGCTTTTGCAAGGTGTGGACTTCAGCGTTTAGAATTTAGAGTTTAGGCTTCCGGGCTGCTAGGGTTTAGGCTTTAGGACTCTTTGCAGAGAACTGCCTTGAAAACAAGAGCTCACAACAACATGAACGGGGATACTGAAGAAGAAGAACCGGGAAGACTTGGAGAAGGCTTTCTAAACCCTAAACCCCAAAGTCCCAAACCATGATTGTCTCCGTGTCAGCGCTTCCTTGCGCCTGCTGGTACCGTTTCAGCAGTGACCGAATGGATGAGCCCCAGTGCTTTAAGGAACCTAAGGGTTATATAGGTAGGCACTATAAAGGTATAGGGAATGGAAAAGAAAGTGGAAAATGCTAGCATGAATTAGGGGGGCCCTAAACCCCAAAGGAAATGAAAGCTCGGCTCATTTTTCAAGGGCTGAGAAGGAGTGGATCCTGTAGAGGCCTGATAAATGTGAATATGATTAGGCTTCAGGGTTTAAGGCTATGAATATATATATATATATATGTATAAAGAGAGCCATAAAACTGGCATCTACAGCAGATAAACCCTATGATTCGAGTCCTCACTCCCTGGTGATTTCCAGAAAACCTCTGGCGGAACCTGGGTCGCAACAAAGTTTAAGAAAATGCCGGGCCCCTTGGGCCCTAAACCCTAAAACCTAAACACTAGGAATTATGGGGGGACTACTGGGAATTCCATTGAGACACTCCCGCATAGCCCCAAACAGGTCGACATGGTTTCGAGTTCAAAGTTCAGGGTTTAGGGTTCAGGTTTTAGCTGCTCCTGGCGGTGCTTCCCTCCCTTTCTGCGGCAGTGTTTGGTGCGTTGCGCTTTCAATGACAACCATCCAGCCATCTTCTCTCTCGGCTAGCTCGAGCGCTACACGTTCTGTTCGACACCACCCTGTAGGGTAGGTTTTCGTACCCTTTGAAAAAAATTCTGTGGCTTGATACAGATTATGTAATGGTAACGGAAAAGTAAAAGCTGTGTTCAAACCTACCCCTGCCTCTCTGACACCAGGTTTGTTGGCTCAGTGTTAGGTTTTGGTCCGAGTGCATCAAGGCAGGACACAAGATCACGAAAAAGCGACACCGAGCCACGTACACAGGAATGCTATCGATGGCCTCCTGCTGGTCACGTGCTGCAAGAACTGAGGCCCCCTGCGGGCAACAGCAATAGTCCAACCATATGAACAAGTCTCTCTGATTGAAATGGTTGGCAGTGGGACACTGCAACCGACCCAAATAAATCTCAGTCGTCACCGGCAAGCCCACCTGGCTGGTGCCTGACATGATGTTTCTAAGCGCCTGCTGTAGAGTTCTTAGCTGCTCCCCTTCAGGATCTGGATGATGCATGCTGAGCCATTGGTGGGACACGAACATCGCCTGACCCATATGCTCTTCGAACTCTACGAGTGAGCCTGCTTCAGTCATCTCCTCAAACGTCTTCACCATGCTCATCTGCAAACACATGTCTAAAGGGACCTGGGTCTTGTTGAGGTATCTTTCAACTCAGCTTTATCTTACTCTATATAGGCCGCAAGTATACACGCATTTGACATCTGCGCGTATACTGTATACTCTATACTCTACAAAAACATGCAAAATCCTCTTCACAATCCAGGTACGGTAAACATAGGAAATGTTGTGCTGGGACGGTCCATGGGATGGCGTTCCTTGGTTGCTGTTGAGAAGGTTTAGGGTTTAGAGCTTAGGGGGATACATAGCAAATATTTCCCGAACGCTAAATTCTGTATGTCCCCCTATACGTAAGCCCTATATGAGCCACAGTCCAATATCATACACGGCCTTTGGAAAGGCCTTCCAACCCAGGTGCATGGTTCTGGGCAGACTCACAGAGGGAGATCGCAAGGTCCTCCAGTGGAGTTCTTCCCATGGCCACCCACTTCTCTAACCTCCCAAACCTTTGGTGCTTAGTAGGGGATAGGGGAATACGATCCCTAAACCCTAAAGCCTATGTTCCCCAAGTCCTTACTAACCACCGGTAAGAAAAGCTAACAGGAAACTAGAACATGAGCAGCTGTGTCATTTACTTCCTCATTCTTGTATAGGGATTTTAGGGGTTATATAGGGAATATAGAGTATATATTGGGGTTATGCTCGGATAGTGGAACAGAAAATGGAAGTTACTATATTATATTGGGGTTATATTGGGATAATGGGCAAGAAAATGGATTAAACTCTTATTGCAGGTCCCACTTTCTGGGCCACAAGTCCGCTGAAAGCTCAGGCTTTGCAAGATGTCAGTCAACTGCATATCGTTTAGGTTTAGGGTTTAGGGTTTAGGGTTTCCCAGGAATACAGAGATCCCCTGGAAACGATTGCATGGCCCTACACCGGAAACCCTAAACCCTGGCATCCTGTTGCATAAACCTAAGGGGGGCCCCAACCTAAAACAGAAAGTGGCGCCAGTGCCTGTCATGGTGGACTGAAGAATGGAGTGAAGCTTGACCTTACACCGTAAGCCTCTAAACGGGTTTGGGGGTTTAGGATTTAGGGTTTAGGGTTTAGGGCTTAGGGCGCTAAACTCGTATAGCATGTCTGAGAAGGTTTTTTGGGGTGTACCAGATCTTGGGGTTAGACCCCATAAGCAGAAGCCTTATCCTAAGCTTTGTGTAGGCCTGTCTACGCAGAATCAACAATGTAGGGACCAGCTAGCGTATGAGGGCCGAACCTCTAATATGCAGCAATCGAAGCATGTTGCCCGAAATCCGGTCGGTTCTTGAACAAAGTAGATTGTACTACTTTGCTTAATGATTCGTAATATAAATAGAGACTCTCATTTGCAACAACGAGCCTTGAATTTAGGTGTGGTGTTATGATTCCCTCAAGTTTCATGCCCCTAACGCAAGACCCAAACTCACAAACCCAGGGTTCAGAGCTTATCGTAAAGCCCTTCGGGGTTCAGCAGTAGCTTCAGGGCTTGGCCTCACGCGCACTCAGCACTGGTTCATTTTGAGTTTGAGGAGGTTTTACCAAGCGGTTTCGCGTTCAAGGTTTGAGGTTCGTGGTTTAAGGCTTTGGGTTGAGGATTTCGCATGATCGACATGGGCCTCCTAGCAGCTGTCAACTCCAAGCATGATCATACTGCGCACAACCATGCCTAAGCAACAGCACCCTTTCTGAAGCCTCAAAAAACCCTAGACCCTAAACACTAAAACCCTAAAACCCTAAAACCCTAAACCTGAAACCCGAAACCGCTGTTAGGATGCCTATAGTATCTCCTATAGGCTCTACAGTCTAAACTCCTAGTACCCCCTTGATATAACCCGTAGTATAGAGTTTAGAGTTTAGGGTTTAGGGTCTAAACTCCTAGTATCCCCATGTCCATATCCCCTATAGTAGTCCCCTCTATAACCCCCTATAGAACCCACCTTTTTAGGATATTTGATTCTAGCTCATATAACCCCGAACGATATAGTAATGGCTTCCCTTTCTCCGCCTTCATTACTTGCTAGCAAGCATTGAGTAAACTCTAGTGTGCCTTGACCTGAGCTGCTTCTCCAACTGACAGCCCTCGGGTGCGCCCTACCCTCCCTCAAACGAGCACAGAATCTGTAACGTAGTACCTCTTGAAAGGACAGTGGTCTTGGTAGGGTTGCGTTTGAATGATCAGTGCTAGTTTCAGTAGGAAGTGATTGCGGGTTCCTGGGACTTAGTGACTACTTCTAATTGGGCTTAAAACCCAACTTATAATCCCCCTAAGTGGACTTATGTAGGTTACCCCACTTGCAAATAGGGTTATGAGCCCAGTGTGCTCATACTTGCGAAACTGGAGCCCAACTATGTGAACTCCATTCGGAACTCCTTAAAGTGGTTTTTATTGGGGATTATATATCAGAGTATTATGGAGGTTATTAAGGAAGATAGTAGGAGTTTAGACCCTAAACCCTAAACCCTATACTGCGGGTTATCAAGGGGGATACTAGGAATTTAGACGATGGCTCATGTATGGAGGAATCTTGCGCCAAATAGGGTCCCTGGCCCGAGGCATGCTTAAGGTGATGCTACAAAGTTTTAGGGTTTAGGGTCAACCCCAAGCAGGGAATCCCAACAAGAATGTAGTAGGAACCGAATAGGGATATACCCTCCAGGGTCCCAACATTCCTATCATGTTCCTACTACATTATCGGGCTTCCCTCTTGGGGGTTCCCATTGAAGGGTTTAGGGTTTAAGGGTCAACATCTCTTGAAAGCTGGCCAAAGCGGCATCTTTCTCAAAGCTCGATAGACCGGTCAAATTAGTTCCAGCAGCTAGGGCCCCTTCTGGGCTCCAAATGCACACCGCTGTTCCAAAAGCTCGGGAGATCTACTGCAAGGGCCTGAAGAACTGGCAGCATCATGTTGAAGGCTATTTGAAGAACCCCATAGAGGGTCTAGGGTTTAGGGCTTCACACAATAGTACAAAGAATCCAGGACCGTAACAGTGGCAATCATTTAGGCCCCTGTACCAGACACGAGGGCTTGGGATTCAATCCATTTCAAGCAGCTCAGGAACGCTCAGATGGGTTCCAGGGGTAAGGGCTTCGCTAGGGTTTGGGGTTTAGGGTGTAGGGCTTTGGGAGTTCAATACAAAATGGACCCTTATGAAGGAAACACATTAGGGACGATACTAAACTACCAAAAGGACCCCTATATCCACCCTTAATGGTCCCTTGGGAGTCTTCTGGTTCCTACTGTATAGGGTTTAGGGTTTAACGGACAATCAGCTGAAAAAGAAAATTGAAATTTAATGTTCATTTCGAATAAAGGGAGGGTGGGGTCTATAAAGGGGTTGTACTTCTTCCCCTGGTTAGCAAGGCATGGGAAAGTAAAAGGAAATTACTACATTATCGGGGATGATGAAGGGACTACTAAAGGTTGAAGGCTTAGGGTTCAGGCTTTGGGGACAAAGCATCGAATCCCGGTTGCATTTCGGGCTGCAGGGACCAGGTACAAATCATTCTTGAGCTATGCGAGTTGTTGCGAAATCCCACCCGGCACGAAGCTCACGGTCAACCCAGCAAAGACCTAAGAAAGCGCCCACGTGAAGGTACTGTGAAGGTTGGGCTTGGCGTCTCAGCCTTGTGAGCACTCATGGAAAAAGCGTTGGTTGCTCGTGCTGTCTGATATGTAGCTTTGCTATACATATCAGGACTAGTCGCGCACGTTCACATGCAAAGCATTTCACTGCTCAAAGGAACCGTAATGTGTTGAAAGGTTTCTATTGCGGATCCCAAAACAGGGAACCCCAAGAATATGATACAAATATTATCAAATATTAATATAAGGACCACATGTAGGAAGCTTCATAGTGTGTTCTTGCTATATTCTGGGGATTACCTGTTTGGAGTCCCCATTACAGTCCTCTTAGTTTTGGCATACTTCCGAAAACTGGTCCCAGACTCCACTTACACCGCTTGTACAAACAAGAACCCTACCTGAGTGTTTAAGGTTTTAGGGTTTAGGGTTGGGGTTTAGGGTTGCTTCCTTATGGTCATCCTAAAACAGAGAAGGCCAACAAGCACCTACCTACCTTGGAAACATTGCCAACTCACCAAACGTCTACCCCTGAGCTGCATATGTACACATATATGGGCTTCCAAACCCTAAACCCTACACCCTACCCTAAGCCCTAAACCCTAAACCCTCTCTTTAATTCTGGACTCCTAAAGAGGACTGACCTCTCGGAGGACCCATGTAGCCAGCAGCTGTTGACGTCCAGAAAGCCAGTGACTGAAAGCTAAGCCCTACACCGCAAAGGACCCTGAACCCTGGACCATAATTAAACCCCAGGGCCTAAAGTCTAAACCTCTTTGAGGCTTCAATGTTACAGGGATTTCGAGATCTCGCCGACATGGTGTTATTTGGGTACCTGCTCCAGCTTAGGTGATCTGACCCTCTGATGGTTTAGGGTTTAGGGTTTACTTCCATACGAAGAGTCAAGGGTCCAAGTACCCAATACTTGGGTACTTGGGTTTTGGGCAATAGCAATTCTAGTATGGGCTTTGGGCAAGCACATGATCATTGGGTACTTGGACCCTGAGGGCAGTTCCATACTTGGTGGGACAGTGCAATACAGGGCAACCACCAGCCAAGCATTGCTGCAGTTTTAATCCAACCAGAACCATACTTCGGCGAGCTGAGGGAACTCCTACTTGAGTGATGACCACATTTCGAACTTTCTGGGTTGCTATTCAGGAACTTGAATAAAATGGCTGCAACAATATTATTTGCGGGTTTAGGGTATAGGATTCTGGGCCAGTGCGTCGGAAAGTGCCCTGTTCAACACAAGGCCAGAAGCATGTGAGCTACAGTCATATTCTCAACATACGTTCCAATATGGAACCCCTATGTCAACTTTTACTGATGGCCAGCCTATTAATGACACTAGCTCATTTGCTTCAAGAAGTCGACTCGGCGTGTCTCGAAACAGGGCCCAACACTCAGCTGCACCAAGTACTCATTGACATT